GTTAGATGGTCAAAATTGAGGTGCCCAAAAAGGGGGTGGAAATCACAAGTAGTGAACATACCGTCAAATTCTCTTGGGGCGTTGGTTTGGGGGGGTACCATATATATATATATATATATATCTATATACAGATTAATTTATACGTATTCATATGTACATATATACAGTATATGTTCCACAATAACTCATGTCTCCGCACGTTTGCACGGCCGGCACCTGGAGCCCTCAGTGAGCCTGGCTTTACCATTCTCTTCGGGCGGCTGCTGATCGGTCGCCAGCAACTTCAATGCCTCTGCCCACGTGAGATTCCTCAGTGAGGGCTGTGGGAAATGGAACCCACTTATGTGATACAGCTGGGCTGTCCTCAGATCCTCCGCTAAAACTTTAACTTTTAGCGGGTTAAATGGACACCCCCACTAAACACTAAAAAGCTAAAAGGCTAAGGGGATGGCTGGGAGCCACCAAGACACACACACAGAGACGCACACACAGAGACACACACAGAGACGCACACACAGAGACGCACAGAGACGCACAGAGAGACACACACAGAGGCACACAGAGAGACACGCAGAGAGACACAGAGAGAGACATCGAGAGAGACACAGAGAGAGACACAGAGAAAGAGAGAGAGAGAGACACAGAGAGAGACACAGAGAGAGACACAGAGAGAGACACAGAGAGAGACAGAGAGAGAGACACAGAGAGAGACACAGAGAGAGAAAACAGAAAGGGCTTCCCAAAGAACCCCCCATACAAAGGGGTAGATTCCCGAAGATATCACATAAGTGGGGATAAACCCCTTGATCCCACAACCCTGGTGAGGAGGAACATGGTGTTGGGTGTGAGGGAGGTGTTGCGAATCCTGATAGTAGAATGGCTGGCGCGTGATGGCAAAATAGACACCAAAGAATCTGCCATAGAGACCAGTTTGGGTCCAGGGCCCTGTGCATGGGACTGGCCCTTTGCCAATGTTAGCCCACGATTAAAAGGGGGGTGATCCATTCAGCATGGGATCTGTCGCGCTTTGGGGGAACTTCCCTTGATGTACCCGAGGTCAAGGTTAGGGGGGTTCTCAAGGGCAAACAAACACTCTGAGCAAGCCAGCCGTCAGGAATCCGGGCTACTGGCGAGCCGAAACCAAGGAAGCAAGGAAGCGGGTCGCATCTAATGGAACGCCCCTTCGTTCATAACGAGGACTCCAGTCTCCGTTTTAAGGGGATCAGCAAACAAACTTGTGGACCTCAAGCTAAGAGAAACACCTCTAGACGGTAGTCTAGACGTTTTGTTTCAAGCTCCTCCTGGCCCCTTTTCAGCGGAATATGGTTTGGTTGTTCCATCGGCCCTCAAGACCCTCTGTGAGTCGTGGTGGCGGGAACTATGAAGGGCATGTAGGAAGCCGTATATGAACCGCTGGTATGAACCCCTCGTTTTAGGGGTAGTTCACGGCTAATCATGCATTATGGTGGGAACCAGCGCGCGGATTTATCTTGGGGTTCATACAGTCAGCCCTTCAAACTGGACGCTGATGGCTTGCTGGAACATCTTGCTATGAAAAAAAGGTGGCTGGGGAAAGCAGCGCGCCCTTTGAAGTGTGTCTGGAACTGGTGGACCCGACTATTTCTAGCTGAGACTGCCCCTTTCTACCCGAATGGGTGGGTGAAATGATTACCTTTCTTCATCTTTCTTCCCTGTTTTAGCCCAGAAGCTGACCCTCCTGGCGGAAGGACACCTTGAACGCCCTCGGGGACACCCGCTCCGTCTGCGCCGTCGGCCCCGAACCCGCCAAGGCCGTGCCGGACACGCCCGACTCGGACAGGGCAACCTTCGCACCAGAAAAACGAAGCGCCATGTCCACGGAGAGCAGAGCCATTCCGAACCATGTGGCCTATCCCGAGCCATCTCGTTGTCTGATACAAGCAGTCGCTCATGTGGCGATTTCCCATTGAGGGTAGTTTGAGTTTCCACGACCCCACGTTTGACAACTCCGATTCCGTTTTCGCGGCCTCTGTCGCCGCTCCCATCGCGGCCATGAGCTTCCAGCAGCGCATCATGCAGCCGCCCGAGGCGAGGGCCGTATTGGCGAAGAATACGGCGAATGAGGGCCGAAATATATAGACGCCTGATTGTTGTTGGTTTTACAGTAAAAAAAGACGCCATTCAAATTGTCTGGCCTTGTAGGACTCACTGGCAAGTGGGCGGGATTTAAGAAACATAGGCTGACGCCTGGGTTCCTTCTTCCGGTTTTTACGATTGAGGTAGTCTAAAAGGGACCCAAAGCTGGAAGTGGAGTTCGGGAAGTGCCAGAGACAAGCTGAAATGAGGGATCCCAATCGAAACCTTGGGTGAAACCCTTTGTCGCGGATTGATTTGAGATCTGGGAAGCTGATCGCGCACGAGCCACACACACACACACACCGCCTGTTACCACACAAACGCGAAAAAAACCCTCGACAAGTGCTTGGGTGTCTCTTTACCCAAGAGTAATTTCCCGTTTCGGGGATGTCTAAACCAACAGGAAATCACCGAGTTTGGGTGTTGCACCATTTCGAGACAATCCAGCTTGCCACTTTACAACAACGTTCTCCAAAATTTCAAAAGGCGATGTTAAAATTACGCTTGAGAAAGAAATATAGGTGTAGATAATTTCTGCGAACTGCTACTAAACTGCCAGTAGACCAACCCCTAAAAGAGTACTCTTCCAAAAAGGGCCACAACTGCTTAAACCACTTTTGCCCGACCCAGTCTTCTGGCGGGTTTAGCGTTGTCCAACCCGAAATACCACATCCAGGTAGCTGTTTAGCTTATTGGTAGGGGTGAGCACCCCGCTCCAGGCCCTAAACGTGTCTGGCTCCGCTTGCAGCATTCGGATCACCAGCCTTGGCTCTAAATGAATTCCTCTGGCCACTTTGCCTATCCGGATTCACACCTGCGGCAGGTGGGGCGTGGGGGGGCTTGTGTCAGAACCGTCAGACGGTTTTGCTGGGAGGTGGGGTGGGGGGGGGGGGGAAAGGCGTTAGACACCAGTAGCAAAGCAGGAAACTTGCACTGAACAAAATCATGTCGGACATTTTTGGCCTCAACTCCTTTCCCCAAAAACTTGCTCTGTGCACCTCTGTAGAATGGTGTACAATGTAGCACCATTGGCTCCTTGTTCCCCCTCTCGGGGCCGACGCGTCCCTCGCGACCAAAAATCAGCTCCAATGGTTGTCATGGTTCACAGAGAATCTATAGGGCAAAGAGCGTCCTTACTGCGGGGCTTAGCAACACGGCGGGGCTTAGCAACATGGGGGCCAACTAGCCATCGCCATCGGCTATATGTGGGTGCTTGTGTACATGTATGATCATTTGTTGGCGTGGGTTTGTTTGTGTGTGTGTGTGTGTTTGTCGCCCATGGTTTTGCAAGAAAAGCTCTGAAGGTTTTTTTCTTGTCTAAAAAGTGCGGTTGTTACTGCTTAGTGGGAAACTACACTTGCCTAACGGGAAAATAATAATAAGTTAAAGCTCCGATAAAACAGTTTTCAAGATGAATGGATGCCATAGAGCCGGGAAAATATTCACCATTATTGATCCCCACTTGGGCGCTTCAAACAATGGGAACGCCCTTCATATGGAGGTGGCCTTTTGGTGTCGTTGTTTCCTTCAAAACAAGCCAAACATATTGGACACCCCTGGACTCTCATGTAATGTTGATTCGTGCACACAAGAGCTCATGTTAAAAAGGTGCATCGACTCTTGGTCGTTAGTCTTCGGAATACTTGCATGGAACCACATTATGGAAGCTTGCGTTCTCCTGTTGGGAAATCCGCCTTTTGAGTTTCATGATTGGTTGTCTTCAATTGCCACAACTTCACTAAGCTCTGCACTCGACTTCTTCGAAGTCTGCATCGTGAAGGTCGTAGATCACAACCTGGCGCATGCGAAAGCTTGGGGGATGAAAACATCAGTGAGACAATCCGTGAAAAATCATTTCCGTGTTGGAAGGCGTCTCTGGCATTTTCTGTTGCGTTCCTGACTGACACGGTGGCGGACAAACCTGTTCGGCTTCAAAAAGCTGGACGGTGCTTTGGATGGAAGATAAAATCAGGTCTTCCTGCGAGGTGACAGGAAGGTCGTTCCAGGCTTGGTTTCCTGCCGGGGCTTCCCAAATCCGGCGGCCATCGTTCCGAAACCATCCACTCCCTGCTGCTTGCGGCTGACAGCGTTTCAGGGCTTCAGCAGAGAGCCGCTGTGGTCACCCTGGCAAGTGCCGCTTTTGACGGGCTTCATAAGACATCACAAGGCTGCGCGCGGTCAAGGCTGCCATGTTGGTCAATAAGGCTGTGTGCGCATGGCGAGTTTGAAACACTTTTGGTGGCTGGATTCGCAGAAGGAAGCCAAGAATTCAAGCTTTAAACCCAGAATGAGGAAGGCCCCGTGTCCCTTCGCTTTCCAACCGCTTAGAGGGTCGCAGTACAAGACATCCACAGGACAAAATTACTTGTTTCGCCCAGAGAACACGAGACAATTCGGTTGTCCCCTTGGTTTTGTGGGAGTACGTCTTTCTTTTCAGGGGTTGTTGCCCCCAAAACTGTCCTCCTCAAGCCAACATTAGACTATCAAAATCTTATAAGTTGCTCACGTGAGTCAGAGGTCTTCTCAAACCATGCAAAGAATAAAATTAGGTGGCCGGACCGGACCTGTCCATGGCTGGACGTGTTGCTTACCACCCTTCTGGTGCCCAGATGTCAATTGTGGCTCAGACCTGGACCCTCCGGCGCCAGAACTTTCTGCCGAAAGGCCCCGGCGGCAGAAATTTCCGCCGAAAGCAAAAAAAATGCCGCTCGGGGGGAAAAACCGCCGAAACGCAACAAACACTCCGACATGCTGAAACCTGCTTCTGCAAAATTCCGCCGATTTCCCGCCGAATTCCGACGATTTCCCGCCTAATTGCGCCGATTTCCTGCTGCCATTTCTTGCACAGAACTTGATGTTGAAAAAACACTGCCAGGTAAACTAAAAACGCCGCCAACAGCAAATAGGCCCCTTTTTCCAAAAAGGCAGAAACTTCTGCCGATTTGGTCTAGGGATGCATTTACCCCGTTGAACGTGCACATATCCTTCGCCCTCGCATCCCGCATTCCACAAGCCGGCGCCACGCTGCAGCTCGAAACGGCCTGCGAGCGATGAGCTTTGCTTTGCTGCAAAGTGGCTCTGTGGATTTTCGCCACCATTCAATGCTCTTCCCCCCTGAGCAAAATATGTATGTTTCCACAAGGTTCAAGGGCGAAGGTCGCACCAAAGACCGGCCATGTGTTCAATGGGAGATTTTGGTTCAAACCAACTTGCTACATGGTTTGAACAGAAACAAAGCCTTTGGCGTCGATTCCATTTCAAGAGATTTCGGACCAGGGGTTTCTGCGGGCGAATGGAACTGCTACAGGGGTTTCTCTTGGTGCTGTGAGGCCTGGCTCTGTTTCTGTGTCCAAGTCCCGCAGAAGCTTAGGCACCAAGGGGCATGGCGGGGCCGTTTCCACTGCATTTGATGGCCGCTTCGAGGCATTGGACCAAGGACAAGTGTTGGCGCTTAGCTTTGGCATTACCTGGGTTTTTCAATGATTTGATGCGGTCAAGCGGGCGTGTGCCAAAAGCAAACACCCCTCAGAACTTCATGCAATTTGCTCGGGAATTCACGAAAACTCGAACCCATGAAAGGTACACCAACCGAGCAAAGCCGGACCATGGGACGAATCTCCTTTCGGAAAAAGGGCTCCTTCCCTTTCGCAAGGCCCTTCTCTGGCCGGCAAGCCTTGAGAAAGCGCCGCACATCCACGCGGGGCCTCGGACGCTCGGCGGACACCACCAAAGAAACGGCTATGAAAATGTTAAGAGTTGGAGCCCTCCAAAGTGGTGGACATGGATCCCCAAATTTGGATGTCCACCAAAGGGTCCCTAATGAGCATTTAGACCCAAATCACCATCTGCGCCGTCAAAGATTACTCCAGGAAACATCTTGCTCACCACTGGCCCAGAAGGTGACGTTGAGTAATTACCATCCGGAAAGTGGGGAACACTTTCTCACACAAGAACGCTGCAGCCCTTCACTTCCAGAACGTGCAAGTTCTGGCGACTTGTTCTTGTTCCGGATCTGGCGAGGCTTGAAACTAGCGGCAAACTCGCGACGGCAGCGCTGCAGTACAAGTTTCACGTTGACCCAGTGGATTTGAGGATGTAAACCATTCCACAAAAAGGACACGTAGAAAATAACAATAATTAAACATGTTCCGATCCCCAAGTACTGGATTCTGCTAATAGGCGCTACGAATCAACTTATTGGTCAGTTCCCAAGGCCAAATCCTGAAACATAAGTCCGACACTGCAATCAGTCCATCTGACCTTCGGGGGAGCGCCATGAAAGACAGCTTCATCCGCAAACAAGTTCCCCGGAGTCGAAACTGCGTCTCCCGCCTTGATATAACCTGATTGAATTCATTTCTAGGGACCACAGAAGCCCGGATTCGTTTGCCCCTCGACTCAGGGGTGCTCTACTTGCAGAGCGCATCTATGGCCTCCCAAGCTTCGCCAAGGATCAAAGAGGGGCTGGTCGAGTTTCTAGCAAGGACAGGTTCATATGATATGTTGTTAAGCATAACCCCACCAAAACAGGAAGTCATTTCAACAGGGCCCAAAGGGTGATGTTTGACAGCCTGGAAGGATACATCCAAAACCACAAGCTTGTACATGAAAAACACCTAAACCAGCTGGTAAATGCGATTTGTTTCAGTGGCCTAACTATCATTATCCTTTAGGGGACCCTTGTTCAAACACCAAAAGGGGTAAGTCGAAACTTTGGACCTCAGCACTTGCCCTTTCCTTCGCTTGGTAGAAACACTCGCCGGGCAACTGGACCTCCGAAACAGGGAGCCTCTATCAAACTATCCGCACAATGGTCAGATGGCATTTGGGAGGACCCCCAGCATGGGTGGAGTCGCCCTGGGATAGCAGCACAAACAAATACGCTCATTTCGCGACCTCATTTGCGAGAATGCAATTCGTGGTTGGTACTTCTTGAAACATCTTGAAACCTTTCAGGTGATATTCTATGACTGGGCGTCCACAGGAAGTTGTGCCCGGCATGTTGCAGCGAGCCCTCAGCTTGCTGATGCGGGTAGGTGACTGCTCCAAGGCTGAAAGCTCCCCTTTGAGCAATAGCTGTCTGGTTGTTAACAAAAGAAATGGATTTAAAACAAACCCCTGAATAACCTCACGCTTGCCATAACAAACTCCTGAATCAAGGTAATGCCGAACACGTCTCCAGCTGAAGCGTCACGCATTCGCCGCAAGCTTTGGGGCGGCAGCTTTACCGCTCACCGCTCCGGTCAAGTCACCGCATGTCCTGCAGCTTCTCCTGCAGCCGAGTCAAGAGGTTCGGACAGCACATCCCCCGGCAGAGCCCGCTCAGCTTCTGCAGAGAATTCGATGAGGAGGTGGAATGCTTCCTGGGAGAGCAAAGCATTTGTCGGGACACGTGTCCCTTACGAGAAGGGTGGGCGTTCCTTAACGCGACACAAAAAATGGATAGGGAGTCCATGTGAATCTTCAGAATACATTCACCCTTGATGTCTGTTTGCTTTGGTCGCCCCGGAGCGTCCAAAATCCACGGCCACGTGACCACAGTTGCACCACGCAACATGTTGACCAACATGTTGCAACAAGGCCCAAACACGCTACCTTTACATGGCTGCGCGGCAAAAGGAACATTTCAGTGGAACGCGTTGAAACGGGACCAACATGAAACAAGCCATTTGGAGGATGCCTCAGGCTCCGGGTTTTGCTAGAATCAAAACATGTTGAAAACGAGAGATTTCACCTAGAAAAACAAAATTAGATTTCTCGCCGAACAACAAAATACACAAAGAATCCCAATCAGGGCAGGGCCAAAACTGGTCTAACCATCATTTCCAAGGACGCTTCAACGGAGATGGAGAAGGCTCAGAATATAGTTGCCTCACGTTCAAACAAGAAGCCCAACTCATAAACCCTGTCCACCGTGGTTGTTGGAAGGGTAGGCTTCTGTGATCCCAGGAACCGTTACCCCCTTGCGGCCTGGATTGGCTGGCCTTTCAATTCCACAAGTTCGGCCATATGATCACTGGCCGAAGTGAAAGAAACGCAAAAGAAAAAATACGCCCTTACTGCCAAGCTGCTTCACGATCACCGAGCTTCTTCTCCGCTCCCGCACCGGGACGACGTTCCTGGCAAGTGGATGCAATGTGCGCACAGCAGTCAGTACATTGTACCCAAGCCATTCAACATGAACAAAAAACAACATACGATTCAAACAACTTGGCATTCTCTGGATGTGTTTGAAGCGCGAATGTACTATTGCAATACCTGGCAAATGACGGATGTGGCAAGAAAAAGGGTTCATGGAAGGGGATGCAAAATGGATAAATTCGACCGATCAATGGATGAATCTTCATCAAATGAAGAAGATCTAAGACGGTCCAGCAAGTTTCATCTTGTGCCGAGATATCGTGGTGTCGTGGAACACCCACTTCTATGCAGCGAGGCTGCATGTATACATGTATGTTCTCTTTGATTGCTTGCTTACTTGCTTGTTTGTGCGTGCGTGCTTGCTTGCTTGCTTGCTTGCTTGCTGCTGGCTTGCTGGCTCGGTGGCTTGCTGGCTGGTACGCATGCGTGCATGCATGCATGTATGCTACATGTCTGTCTGGATGCAGGTTGGAATGGATGGATCGATGATTGCGCGCTTGCACAATGTGTGCCTGTGCCTGCGGGAGCGCATGCATTCAGGCACATGTGTGCGTGTGCACACATGTTTAGAGAGTAGGAAGAACTCCCATGCATGGCCAATGGCACACACCACATATTCCGGAAGGATAAGCATGTCAGGTCAAAACCTGGAGATCATTCAATTGTAGTTCGTTGACGTGCTTCTGGGTGGAGTGTCCATCCGTCACTGCGACTGCTGCTCGTGTATCTTCATGGGAGATCTGTTCACACGCCGTAATATATGGCTTCGTCTCCTAGAAAACCTCCAAGATGGGTGGTCTTGCTTCTGTTTCTCTCTTCAATATCCTGAAAAGGGTGCATTCAAAAAACCGTTCTCCAATTTCGAAGTGATCACGGGCGTCTCTTTTGCGGGGAATCTGCGTGCTACCCCAAAATGACGGGGAGAGGCACGTTGCAGCCGATGATCTACACACAAATTAATTTCACCTAATTGAATGCAAGGACCCAAGGACAAAATGAACCGCCCCTTGCATGGTCGCAAAGTTACCCTCCCAGCGATTAACATGGAACCTGACAGGTTCTGGAAGACCAGTTTCCTTTTAAGTGACCCCCTGTCAGGTTCCATGCTAATTGGTGGGAGGGTATAAATTATGCCAATTTTCCTTGGCGAGGATTCTCCCTTTAGAACGGAGATAGATGATTGACTTCGTCAGCGAGCATCACTCCGGGTGCCAACGCAGACTCACTTGTTTAAGGAGCCCGGAAACAAAAGGCAAGTAATTGTATGTCGGGTTGCCGTGAAGGAACGTTGCCAGAACTGATTGAAACAACAGTTGTCACACGTGATTGACAGTGATTGATTCCTAGTCCAGAATGGCTTTCCACATTCTCTTTCAGCAACGTTCTCATCAAAATTCCTTCTTTTCCAGTGTTGTCGATCCTGTCCGATTCCGCAAAAGAATTGCCTCAGCTGTCGGCAACCTCAGCCTAGACCTGGAGACACCCGAGCACAACCCACGGGTCCCTCAGGATGACAAGTCAACTAGGACGGGAGACGCTTCTGATGGCCTTCCCTTGTGCCTCCCAAAGAAAGTCTTGACAAGTTCCTTTGCGCCAAGGCCTTGCCTTGCCATGGCTATGGAAGTGAGCACTCCCGAATCGCATGTGTCAATCCATGTACACCGGCCCTAAATCCTTAGCAACATGTGCTCCTTGACTGTGTGTGTGTGTGTTTGTTTTCGAGGCTACCCAGGTTTAAGGAGAACCAAAGAGACAACCACACCCAATTGACCCCCATGTTGGTTCTCTTGTTCAGCCATCCAAACCGGCCCACGGCACTTTTTGGAAGGTCTCTTCAGCTCCGTGTCGATGGCCTTGTGTGCAGCCTGCCGGAAAAAAAAACTGGGAACCAGAAAAGTAGATGGCACAATTACCATGGTGAGTAGAGCAGATGCCTCAAAATGAGGGAATGGTGTCTTGTACTTTCTAACTGTATGCCTTGGTTCTGGTAAGGCTCCTAGGTCTTGAAAGGCTCTTGGCATACGAAACCAGGCACCCTGGAATTCCCTTGAAAGCATCTGAGCTGCTCTCTGCTATGCGCTTGTTCTCTCAAACGGACCTTCTGATGGGTTCCATGCTAGTGGGTGGGTAGGGTAGTGGAAAAAAGCAAACCATCGCAAACCTAACTATGGCAAATCATCTCACTTGCTTTTGGGAATCGTGCAAAGTGTCACCCTGGCGTAGCAGTTTACAAGGTAGGTGTGTGGCCCGTTGGCTCCTTTTGAAGTGAGGGTTGGCAGATGTTTGCAAGCATCTTCAGCTCCCAGAAAATTTTGTTGCCGTACGAGCGTGACAGCAAGGCCCTCTGTTGACGGGAAGAAGGGCTTTGTTTTGCCTCCGTCATGATTTCATTTGCACATGCGGGACCTCCCTCAGGGGATACCGTGACAAAGGACCACAACTTTTTGGAAAGCCAACATTGGATGTTTGGCGAAAGCACCTCAATGTTGACGCCTGGTTCATAAGCAAGAGCGAATCCCCCGAATCCCCACGAAAAAGGGAGGACCCCCTCAATTCTGAAAGGGCGGGAAATAGCACGAGGGCTCACCAGTATACCCGGGAGCTCATGCACATTGCCGCCCCCCAAAGCGGCATTCAAGTTCCTCGAGGCGCGGGACGCAAAGGTGCTGACCCAAAAGGCGGTGCATTTATTGTTGGTAGCCTTCAAGGGTTGCTTAGGGAAGCAAAAAGGACATCTACTATTTTTAGGGTCCCCGATTTTGACACATGCTGACATACTCCAAACACGGGCGGAAGCATCGAACCGTTCATAATTGCTTTGTAGCCCACATGATTACAAAATGAAACCGCGCGCAACCCAAAACGCGCAGAAGGTCTGACTTGAAACGGGCTTCCATACACGTACAGCCTCACCCAGGGATCACTCACTTTTGACTTGGCCTCCCCGAAAAGGTGAGGGTTCAAACCTGGCAATATAGGAATCCCCTTCACCCAGCCTGCAAATGCTTGGTGTTGCTGTGGCGGCTTTGCAAGTACCTCAGTGCTGCGAAAAGCAGATTTCTATTATAGGCGGTCCCAATCCTGGGACTTTGGGTTCCATGCCCTGCCAACACGGCAAGGGTTTAGTCATGAAATCAGGCGAAGCTGTAGAAATGAGCTGACAGCAGCAAATGACGGTCACGCTCCATAGCCTGAAAAAGACACACATTCTGGATCGGATTTGCGCACATCTTTTTTCAGAAGTGCGGAAATGAGATTCCCTGTCCCATGTGGAGGGCTTAAGAAGAAAAAAGTCGCAAAACGGGGGCCGGCCTGCTCCAGAGGCCGTCTGAATGCGACGAGTTGCTCAATGAATTCGTTCATGGAGATGCAGCCATCTTTGTTGCTGTCCTCAGATGATGCAGAGTCTTGATGCAAGAAAACTTGTACCTGGTTGTGAAACCTAGCCCTTTCTGCGATACCAATATAGATTCATCACTAGATGAAAGGGGATCCCCTTGATATCCAAAAAAGAAACGGCACCATCGTTTTTGATCACGCCGATCTCAAGCAGAACCATGGACCCCATGAGCTCACACGGTTGCACGCCTCCCCGCCTATTGAGATGGGGCAGGCATTGGGAGGCCCTGAACCATAGGATGAGCGGTCCAACTGGCGAAAATTTGCACGCACGCCAAAAACCACGCGCCCTTTGCACTGGTCCGACATGCTGGTGCGAACTTAGCCATCTGAATTTCGTATCCACCTCAACCCCACTCAGCAAGATGGGACAGCACATGAAATAAACACAGCAAACACTCGGCCCACAACATGTATCTGAGCTCTAGCAGACCCGTGGATCCTCTATCCATGCTTGAGAATGTCGGTCACAACATGTGCAAACCATAACATGCTGCCCATGCCCTAGCCATACAAATAAAGCTCAAAAGCTTCCCTCGCTCCCTATGCGCCAGAAATGACCAAACTGATTCGGCCTTTCCTGGAAGTGATGGCGCACTTTCCAACAAAAGGCTTAACGCATGTGTTTGTTACCCTGGGTACGTCCCAACATGACATCGATGAGTGGCTTCCCTGTGTCTTACTGGACACCGCGTATAGCTAAGGCTTCCTCCATCGGGGTATGGATCCTTTGGTTTGGTGGATACCTTTTCCGGGTGGATGCCCGTGTTTTTGAGTGGTTCCTTTGGTGGACATCGTTTACTGGGTTCATGTCCACCAATTCTTGGTTTGGGTGCCTTGCTATTGAAAATCACAGCCACTTCGGTTTTGTCTCAACATCGGGCGCTCATTTCAAAGATGGTTGGCTTGCTTGCTTCCCCTCCAAACCAACCGAAGCGGCAAATCCTGAAAAAAAAGACAGACCTTCTACGGAAGCGCGAAATACACAACACCTCTACAGAAGTGATCGGTGTGAAACAGGTCAAGGAAAGCAAACGAACTAAGCCAGAGACCCCAAAGAGGGAGATCGGCTCGGTGTCCGGAACTGGAACATGCGCGTATCAACCAAGATCTTGCCATTGACCAAAGGACCTAACATGCGACTTCCTGGTGAGAAAATATATGCGTCTCACTTGCAACCAAAGGATCTGAGCAATGGCGAGCCATGTGGTGAATTGACTAAACTGGACGAAAGAGGAACTCAAAAGGGGTTGGATCGCCAGGAAAATCATGGACAACAACCGCAGCAGGCGCAAAGTCTAGTGGTCCCTATTCGTCATGCACTCGGGTTTGAGGGGCTCCACCAACGACACATTGCAGCTGAGTAGGTTTTTGGCAGGCAGAAAGTCAAAGATTCGTGGGAACATCAGTGGGTCTTTCCCCAAAAAAAGAGATCCATGCGTTGCTGGGGAAACTAACCCCTACAACAGCAGCAACTCACAAAGGGAACTCACACCCATGTAAAACCAGAGCTCATCTGGTCACAAAGCTCACCCGCTGGCCGTGGACCCCACCTCAAAAGGCCCCAAAAACCCCATGGCTCTATCCGCTGGGAGGTTAACCGAAAACCCGCGCGATGGAGTCCAAGGCTCTGCGTCGCGCATGACCTCATCCAGTTCTTCCTCACTCAGAGAGTCTCCCAGCATCATCTGCAGCCTGGCTGAGTTAAAGCCCACGAAAGTTGCGAAAGGTCGCTCGAGTCAAAGCCTCTCCGGAAGGTTTGCAATGGTGCCTCGAAGTACTTCAAAGGGATCCGCAAGGTCCGGCTGACAAGAAACACTTGCTGGGCCAGTCCTTGCCTGTCGCAGTGTGCCTTCCTTTTAGCTTGAGGAGCCAGAGTGGCGCGTCAATCATTCTCACTTGACCCTCGTCTGGGCAAAACAAACGTTACTCTAGAGACTCGGAAAGGCCCCGCTCCTCTTCATCCAGGGCCAGCATGAAGTACAAACACTCCATCAACCATGCCACTTCCAAGGCCAAGGACTTTCAATCATCCCCACTGCCAAAAGGCTTGATGACCAGCCCTTCTCAGATCCAAAGAAATACTTCCTCGGCAGCTAGCATGCCATTCATGTGGTGAGCTCAGGCATGTCATGTCTACATCAGCTTCTGCCCACCTCTCTGCTAAAAATGATGCTGCTCATAGACGTCCAAAAAACATCCTAGACGGGCACACAGAGCGAGAAAGCTTGGAAAGATTTGGCTCGCACGGCCATGACACACCCTAAAAAAGAGAATTGTGTTTTTGTTGAACCACGCCCATTAATTCGCAGCCTTTCTATACCTAATTTTATACCTGGAGAACAACAAATAATTAACAAAAACCCATTTGGGTGACCCAAATGGGTTCGAACAAATGGATTCCAGGATAGCACTATACTAAACACATGATTGTCCTGTGGTGCAAGCATCCTAGAACCCACGTCTTAGAATCCGTTAAACGTTTCCCCCACGGTTCCACTGCACCTAAAGCACCCAAAAGCCAACGCACAGGCTTGGCCGGTCAACCCCAAACATAGGATGCAACACCTTTCCCCTCAATTGGCTTAAAATATTGTCCTTGAGAAACCAATCCGGTTCAACGAGTCTGCTAAAAAAACCAAGGGGCTTCTGCTTGGTGATGTAGCCCGAGTTGTCAGTGTCGAAGCGCCCAAAGGCGCTGCGCAGCATGTCGTCGTGGAGCGCGATGCGCGTGGACATCATGGCCGCCAGGAAATCCGAGTAGTTGATGACCTCATCACCTCAAATCATGGTCGTGGAAAACATGGGTGTATGTTTTTAGTGTGCCTAAAAGTAAACTCAATAAAAGGAAACTCAATAGAAGGCACTCCCAAACATCCCCCCCCCAGCCACCCCACGCCTGTGATGCCAACAGGTTGATTCCCATCACTACTTTAATCACTTTCTAACAGGGATTCCATTGGTATTTTCTCGTCGAAAGTACGGTCTCTGTGGGTTCTTCCATCACGACGGCGGGACCCAAAAAGATGGTTTCCTGTTGGTTTCCCTTCAAAACAAGGTCATCAGTTTTTGAAATAAATGGGTTTCCTGTTGGTGTCCCGTGTCTTCCTTTGAACCAAGTACAACAGTTTTGAGGGTGTCTTTTCCCCTTTTCTGGTCTGGCTTACAGGGAAGCCAGAAGGGAGAAAACAAATTTGGCTGGCATTTGATTGGTTTGACACACACCAATGTAACACACCTAGGCCGAGAAAGGCTAAAGAGCAGGGCGGAGGACTCCCTTGCAATGATCCCAACCCTCCTCGGCCTTCCCTGGTCTTTGCCTCCTCTCTGAGCAAAATGGAAAACGATTGGCGCCCTTTCGGACATCTCAGCGCCGCACGCGACATGGGCGACTGCAAGGACTGGAAGGTCCTACAGGGCTGGGGAATTTGCATAAGGAAAGACTGAGACATGATTTCCGGTGTTTGGAACGCAATCTTCTTTCAGGGAAGGACCCCCTCTTCGGGGGTCATGTTCTTTTGAAGATACGTATCCTCCAAAGTATGTCTTTCTTTGAGGCTGCTCTCCCACCAAACCATGGTGCATAGTCGCCCCCTTTCCTAAAGGAAGGAGCGTTTGCACGTCGCCATGTAGGTGGGAGGGTAGTCTTGAACTTGGTTGGCTGTTATAAAGGGAAACCAAAGGGAAACTATCTGTTTTCAAGGGTTCTTCCATCCGGACACAAACATAAATGGCAAATCAAGAAATGTGCCATGAAATTGAAACTTCCGTCCAAACTATTCTGCACTTGTGGCATGAGATGCCAGCTTCTCCTTATGTGTAGAAGACTGCTGTCTATAAGCCTCCTCAATATTGAGAGGATTATCAAGTGAAACAATGAAACGCACATTTTGCAGATTGCCGCGGGTTCCTTCTTGACTGGCACCTCTGGGAACCGGCCATATCAGTAAGCCTTCCCCTTCCAGCGAAAATGTGAACGCCGCTCAACCCCTCCTGGCGACCGCGGCATCTTCAATGTGGAACTTCTCCTCCAAAACCTGAAGAGCGGTTTACACGCCCTCACACGCAAACAAAGGACACACACACACACCTCCACGCAAGAAGGGATTCAACGCAGGCTCGCCGGTAATTAGGGTGCGTAAATACCGGCAGCACTTTGTAGGAAAGGGACTTTGCGAACTTCCACGATTAGGCGGGTAGTCTGGGGTCTATGAAAGGTTACACTGATGGGACACCGAGAAAAGCGCACGGATTCGCACGGATTTGAATGCCAGGCCTGCGAGTAGACTCACCCACACGAGCAGGGCAAACAAGTGACCCTCCCTGTCCTTTGTGACTCCATCCAGAATAGGGTGCAAGCAGTGGTACCTTCCTCTCATGTACCAGGAAAACCAACACGCATAGATGCACTGAAAACCTCCTCTGAAGGACCTCCAACAAGAAGCAACAATAGCAATCATAAACTGCTCTCAGCACCCCAACAAGCCCAAACGCCTGAATGGCAACTTGCATGAACTAAGCTTGCGCCTTCGTTAAGTCTTGCGTGGAGCCTTGCTGAAATGGCGCAGCACATCCTCACATGTTGGGCGCGGAAATCACTGGCAAACAACTGCCTTAGTCCAGCGGTTGTAGTTCTCACCCGAACATTGCACCAATGGTTGATCCTTCCCAACAGGCAAAAGATGTGAGTTCGGGACCCTAGGTCACCTGTCTTAACATGCTTGGCACATCTCTTGTGCAGACCTGCCCATCGCTCCAAGAAATCTCAACCCCTGAACCACTACATAACCTCAATGGATACTAGGAAAGTCTTGACATCGTGGCTTTGTCCGGGAACTAAAACAACTTTTCCCATACCTCTTAGACTTATTGGGGGAGCCTTTGCAAGGGATTGCTTGCAAAAACCTCAGTGTGCGGCCAACTAGAGCTTAGAATATTTGCCCACGTGAATCTACGTGTAACATAATTGTCTGACCACAGCGTGGGGAACGACTCCAAAGCTGTTTGCAGTAAAGTATGGAGCATAGACTATGCTATAGCTGGTTACGCATCATCAAGACGCTGTGATTCTCACGAAACCATCTGGTGTCCACTTGCTTTCAGCGTGCAACGCTATGTCAACATCATCCATGGATCGTCCAAGCACGATCTGCACCAGGTCCCAGCATAACGCATTTGAAACATAAGAAAGGCTGCACCAGCCAGCACAAGAACATTGCGAACAAATGAACCATAAATAGAATACAGCGGACATTATGACCTTTAGTATGTCTAGTTGTACGTGTCTGTACACGCGTGGATACATATCATACATACTATACGTATGTGTATGTGCGGCGTGGCTATGTATGTATCGACTTCCATTATACAAACAAGCATACCTATTATACCACATTGTCAGTGTATGATGTGCAAAGCAATGCAAATTTACACATGGCATATTCAAGGCATATATTATAAAGCTATAAACGCTCCAGTTGAACCTTCTCACTTCCGCTAGGCAACACTTCTCAGCTCGCTCAAGGTGATGTGCCCGCTGTGATCCTGCGCTCGCGAGTGATTACAACGCTGGTGGTCTAAACCGTCAACATGGGTGTGGCCTTGCTTGCTTGAGGGAGACCTTTTGGAGTTGGTGTGAAGGGAAACCAAAGGAAAACGACCCATTTGGGGGCACGAGGCTCCAAACTTAAAGATGCAGCCGCATGTCTTCTTCACATCCCTATGCAGATGATGTTAAAGGGTCGGAAATCGAAGTTGTTGAATACCCAAGACCAATTTAGATGTCAAAAAGCCAAGCATCCGAATGGTTGGCTTCATGTGATCTGTGTTTGTATAACATGTTCCGAAGAGGTCCTTCGTCAATGTCTGATTGGCCGATGCTACAAACCACGTACTGAAAAGTCAAGCAGCAGGAACGGGGACCTGTCTGAACATCTACAAGCCACGTTCTGACAACATGACAGAATTACTAAATGTCAGGTACCAAACCAGGCATACGGTTTGCTTTTTTTGCCTTCTCTTTTCGCCCGAGAAACCTAACTCCGAGTTTCAACCCCGGGCCGATTTCGCAGTCCGTGTCGATCTCCAGGAAGGCTTTGTGCACCTCCGCGCGCTCCTCGTTGGACAGGGAGATGGCCATCACCGACAAACAAGCGCCTCGACGGACGTCCGACGTGGGCGGGCGGGCGGGCGGAGAGGTCCCCGAACGTTCCGCGGTTCTCTTGGGTTGGTCTTGTTGAGAGTTGGAAGGTTTTGGCTGTCCGGTTTTCTTTTCATTTGGAGGGCCCGGAAGTTTGCATGGTCATGAGCCTGCAGGGTTGGACCTGTTTTCGGAGGTGTCCCCGCTTGAGCCCTGCTAACCTCAGGAACGTGGGCTCAACATGTTCCCTACGCACCCCACAATAAAAACAACACCAAAACGAAACTGGGTAACACCCTATGCTGGCCCAACCGGAAATTTGGAAATACCAGGAACCATGCCAGGTGGACGGCCATAGTCAAACCTTCACCTACCGGAGAAAAAAGGGAATTGAAACGAACATTCATCATCGCAAAGGCCCTTAGGCTCTTCGTGAATTTGAAATAACATGCCAAGACATTTGCCTGAATAACCCCATCCCATCCCCTCATTCCGGGAGTTGTCGAGATTCCCTAAGAAAAACGTAAAAGGTCAAGCCGCTGCTAGCGGCCCCGCTGAATTTGCACTTTTTCAGCCGTGTGATTCGGTGCAATCGTCAACCCTTTCAGCACTTTGTGAAATGTTGCATTTTGAGGCATGCTGAACTGTGTCACGTTTACCGTAACATTGGCAACTTTGTGGCTCATTTCTACAGGGCAAGCACAATTCAGGAGCAAAGGCTCCTGCCAGCTTGCCTAACTCTTGTTGCACCTATCGACATACGAGTAGACGTACGTGCGCAGCTGGCGCGGACGCAGGGGGCTGGCGATTCAGAGAAGATTGCAGAACGCAGGTCCAAAGGGAGCAGATGAGGCTCTAAGACAGCAAACCGCAATGGGTACCTATCTTCCAGCAAGGACGTTTACCGAACGAAGTCCAAGACAGGGTCCGCGCCTGGCAGGCACTGCGCTAGATGAAGGTCCTCCAGGCACAGCAAGGGCACTGCGAAAAACTGGACAGACCCCAAATTAGAAAGAGGGGTTCCCAAAAACTATGCTTTTGGGAGGGAGGAGCAGCTACAAAAAGAACAACAGGCGTGGTTTTGGTGAGGCAAAGATTCGCAGGCGCCAGAGGGGCTCTGTGCTTTTGGGAGGGAGGAGCAGCTGCCAACAGAAACAGTCATGGACGCAGAGGCGATGCGGGAGGCTGAGGCTGGGAGATGTGCCAAGCGATGCTGGGGATGCTGGGGATGCTGGGGATGCTGGGGGCGCGGACCCTGCATCACCAGCATCATCCGCATTGAAATTGATTACACCTTGAACCACCACGTCAAAATCGCAAGGACTGATATCTCGAGTAGCAGAGCTGTCGGTCCGTGGAGCTTCAGGCTGAAAGGGTTGTCACGACGAGTGACTTTGACACCTTTTGTGGGCGTCATAGCACCGGCCCGCTGGAGCCTTTGTTCACCCGTGGTCTTGCCCACAATGCCCACCACCATGTTCACTCAATCCTTCGCACGTGCTGTGACCTTCCCGAAATTTGTCGAAACCGCACGCTGCAAAGTCTGCAAAGTCTTGGGCCACAAGTGCTAACCAAAGACTGCTGGCAATTTTATCCAAGCATAGGTGTCCTTTGGAAAAAATAGAGGGCACTGGTAAACGATTTGCAAACTGGAAGCGGTGCCATCTACTTTCAACTAAACTGACCTAAAAAGGATGCCTATGTGACCAAACCTATCCATTTCGAGTTGACCGAGCCGCGTCGGAAGGCCGAAGACTCTGAGAAGGAGGTCAGTGCATCCACAATCTCCTGGCAATGCCAGAAAAACGCATGGGTCAGCCAACCACACCCACCAAACCCTGGTGAATTGCGCAAAAACCTGGAAACATGCATTACTTCCTGGTAAATTGCATAAAACCCTGATCAAGGTTATAAAACTCTGGTAAATTGACCAAAAGCCTGGTCAACTGCTTGTTCCCCTACTTGCAATATGTAGGGCATCCACCAAACCGGCCAAACCGTAGAGGTTTGCACGTTAGGAAAACAAAGCTTTGACCGAAGCCCATTTGTTGGGATTCCCCGGCAAAAGACGGGGGCAGGTCCCTTTGTTCTCAACAGCTGTCGAACACAACAGCACTCGCTCAGGCACCCATAAACGTCTCTGACAATTGTGTTGTAATAGGGCCCTTACGATGGTTGTCGACATCCCTGTCCAAAAAGGGCCTTCCAAAAGGATAAGGGTTCCTTCCGTGCCGTTTAGCTTCCATCGCTAGGCGTCCATTTGCCACCCCTGGCAAACATTCGACACAACCCAACAAACAAACCATCGCAGAAGGGAACCGGCCCTCCACATAGATCTTGTCAAATGATAGTCACACGAACCCAACAACTGCTTCAATGGCCAGGAAATCCCAATGCCAGCTCCTTGGACCCTTCAAACAAATGGGTGTAATTTTTACTGGGGCACCCTTGGACATTCAGATGGGCGGTTTATGTCCAATCACTCCTCTGGTCTATAAATCGCCATTGTTTCCCTTTCAACTTTCAGGCAATTTGGCCCCATATTACTTCTTTTTGGCCCGATTGGGCGGTAATGTTGACCTCGGACAAATCAACCCCTATTAATATGGGGGTGTCCCTGGTTTGAGTGGGGACTCACCACATCTCACCATGGTTGGGTCAACATAAGCCGGACTTGTGGTCTCCACGGCACCGCGTGAGCAGTACCGGTGGTACCTGTGGGTCAACATCACCCGCTGGGGCCTTGTTCACATAGCTCTTGGCGTTCTTCTCCCGCTCGGCGATCCAGGCGTGCTCTAAGGCCTGGTCCGCCGAGAGCCGCAGCCCGGGGTTCACCTCGAGAGCAAACATCCGCGGACGGGCCGAATTCGATGGGAGTCCCATGAAAATATAGACATGGAATTCCCTTTGGTGGGTGGTTTGGGAAGGTTGGGTTGGGTTTGGGTTGGTTTGGGTTTGGGTTGTTTGGTTGGTTGACAGGACTCGCATTGATACTTTCCTGCATAGGTCCCGAAGAGAACCAACCAAACCACCTACCAAAAGGAAAATTGCGGGTGACCTAAGGGTCCACTGGGCGGGGGGGTTGACCAACTGGTGACTTTCCAAATTGCGAGGTCGCCCTAAAGATGCCGAACCTTGGCCCAATTTGGGAGCTCCGGGATCCAACCTTTGACTTCAACCCATTTCAATCCAAAGCCGCGGCGAACGCGGAAGATCCGGTCCGGCGGGACCGATCAGCCATCTCCTGCTGTTTCAGGAGGGATAGCTCACTCGCCGATCCTTGCGATCGGATCCAAAGGGCACGAAGACATGCAAAGAAGAGATCGTGGATGGATAAAAAATCCTGCAGTTGGGATGCATAAGACCCTATGAATACTGGGATAATGTGCCTGGTGCAGGAATTTGTCCAAGTGGGAGGGGTAGGCTTGGACAGTTGAAGTCGGTTTTGCAGCTGCCCTACGGAACCCGACCATGGGTGTCGGGTTGAGCTCTTGGGAGATCCAAGCCAAACCACCGTCTAAACAGACTCCATACAGCCAGGCATGTTTCCTTGGCTGGAATTGGGACCCCAGCAAACAAGAACATACTTTGCTAGTGGAAAACAAAGGCCTAAAAAAGCGAAGAACATCAAAAAGGGGAACGAATTCTGGGGAAGTCTGATGATGTCTGACAGGTGCTTCCCCAAGCCTGCCTTGGGTAAGTTGGATGTAGCGAATGGGCGGCTCGTGTTTCTTTAGGAATTGGACCCCCTACAATGTGGGCGGGGGTTGTCCTTTGGTTCTCCTTGTGGTTTCCATTTAAGAAGCACAAAACAAGGCTACCCTCGAAAAAAGATACACCATAAATGCTGGTCCCTCTTCCCGGCTTACATTGCGAGGCAGATACAATTCCTTCCTGACGGGGGGGGGGGGGGGCGTCTCATGGGAGGTGTCTCCGCTGTTTTGGATTGCTTTGAAGGCAAGCCAAAAGGAAACCAACCAGGCCCAAAAAAGCCTACTTGCTCAAAGTGACGTGTTTCCTCATTCTTTCCGCTGGGTTGGCCCTCTGTGTCAAACTGCCAGTTGGCAGTGGGTCAAAAATAGGTACCCAAAATGGAACCCTGGTAAATGGTTAATTTTGACCCGTGCCCAGTTGTGTCCCCAAAAAATGAAAAACTAATCTCTGTTTGGTGGTTCTCTGTTGGGCGTTGCATCCCCTTGTGCCGCCGAACCTACCTTCCACTAACATAGCACCTGTGGGAAGGTACCTGGATGATCGTGTTTCTCTTGCACGGACCCCCTGTCAGGTGCCATGTTAACGGGAATGAGAGTAATTCTACAGCCATCATTACTTGTTCAGCATGTGACCCATCTCAAAACTGCTACTGTCAAGCAACAATTCCCATCATGTGCGTACACAATGGAGCAAGGGTTCGTATCATTTGCCTTTTGTGTGTTTCTGTCTTGATCCAACAGTAATCATTCAACAAAAATTAGCTTGACTTGCCTTGAACTCCCTTACAGCATTCTACTGTATGCCATGATGTAGAGTAGAATATCATTTCTACAGGTTGCTCTCCATGTCCGCGTGCAATTTGGCCCGGATTCCCTGGCTTCAAAGACCCAAAGTCCCCCCAAACACAAACCACGTGGTTTCCCCGTTGGCTTTCCCTTTGCCTAACAAGGAGGTAAATAGCAACATCTCTGCTGGCCACCGACCAGCAATGACCCGCCCCCCCCCCCAAAAAAAACAAAAAAAAAAAGAAGAGAAAGAACGTTGGCCGTACCTACAGGAAAAACAACAACACACTCCCTGAAAGCGCCAACAAAGTATGGCCCATGAAAAAGCAACAAAGTCCAAGAAAGCCAAGCACATAGGTATGAAACAAAAAGGTCCTCCCCCAACCAAAAATGATAAAATGCTTTCTACCAGTGGTTTTCTTTTGAATCCAACTCACAAAACGTACCCTCGGAACAGCACGTCCCATCCACCATTGTCAGCTTCCCTTTGGACAGATCTCTGCTTTGGTCCCCGGCCTCTGCATCAGGGCGGCGGCCTCTTGGGTGGCGGAGGCAGCTTGGACCGGCTGGGACCTTGGCACGGGCCAGAAGAAAAAATCCTCTAGGTCCTCCAGTAGAGAGGTTAGAATAAAGGTACCTTTTTTCTGTAGTCTATTGTAGTAGGGGCACCCTCCCCCAAAAAAGAAACGATAGTCTTGCAGGGACCCCCTGTCAAGTGCCATGCTAGTGGGAAGAGGGGCGGAAATTCATTTTTTTTGTTTGAAAGATGCCCTGGAAAACACACACAACTCTTTTCCCCCCATGTCAAACCCCCCGCACCCCTCCCCGTTATCGGCGCCGCGGTTCCGTGGCTTGGGGGCCCCTGCTGCTCTTCCGGGGCGCCAGGGAGGCCCAGGGATCTTGGAAGGCGCCCTTGCGCCGGTGGCGGAACCTGCGGGCCGCAAACAACCGGCCGCCGGGCGCCCCTTTCCGCGAGCCGCGATTATGGCACTTCATGGCTTGAAATGGAAAAACCAAACGCCGCAATCCATCCCAACCAACCCAAGGCCGTTGAAAATGACTCCCGCAGTTTCGGCTTCACGCCCAGAGCCGTCCGACAGGCTCTCCCGAAAAAGGCGAAAATATGGTCCCGCGCCTGCCCGGTGTCGCCAGCATGGCGCGGTCCCGGGTAGCCTGGAGTACAGAGGCACCTACTATGGTTCCCCTTCCTAATTCTCGCCATCAGTCACTTTGGAGCGTGTGACACATCAACCAACCGCTTTGATTTCTGCTTAGACATCACCCCAAAGTAACACACTCACATCAATTTGGCCCCAAAAAAAAGGCGATGCGTAAAAAGCCACGCGACCTTTTCAGGGGAAGGTCTCGGGAAGCCGCTTCCCCGGTCTGAGGGGGGACTCACCACTTTAGATCCGGCCTCCTCCTCAGAGTCCGAATTGGCTTTCTCCCAGAGCTGCTTGGCGCGCTCTGTCATGGCCTGACGCAACCAACCAACCCGCCCACCTGCCACTCCCAGGGCCAAACGACCTTGTGCAGGCATTGTTTTTAAGGAAAGAAACGGCACCTCCCATCGCAGAAACAACATCGCAAAAAGGGAAGCCTGCCACTCTTGTTCATGCAAACATCTGGAACTGATCATGCTCCAGAATCCCTGGATGCTTCATTTTTAGGAGGCTTCAAAATCTGGCTGATTCTCGTTGATATGAAGCCTGCTGTGCCACTCCTCCATCCTGGGGGATCCCCGCCGGATGCCGGATCCCGCCGGAGCCGGCCGGCCCGACCTCCCGGCCTCGCGGCTGGAGTCGATGGAGCTCCGCGCCAGCGAGCGCTTGGCACCCCGCAGGTGCTGCCTCGAAGCGCGGGCTGTCGGGTCGGTGGCCGGTTTTTGCTTTTTTTCTTGCGGGGGTTGATCCAAAGGTCCCTTACGTGGAGAAAACCACAAAAACAAATGATGATAAACTCCCATCAAAGAAGACCATCGATCAACACTGAGTCCTTTCCAGCACCAACATCTCTGGTCGGTTGAGTCTTTTCCAAACCCAACCAAACCCAAGATCGCTTGAGGAGCCGACGACTCCGGGACAGGCTTGGCGAACATGGCCTTCACCAACTCCTTCGAGATGGGACTGCAAACCTGCTGATTTGGGTGTGCTTCTATGTTTTTTTTTTTGCTTTTTTGTGTTTTTTTTTTTTTTGTGTGTGTGTGTGTGTTTCTACTGGTTGATTCTTTGTTCGCTTCACCCATCCGTCTGTTCAGAAACCACCCCTTTATTACCCCTGGAAGTCGGTCCATTTTTGGAAGAGAAGGATCCCTCCACAAAGAAAAAAGGTACGGCAAAAACGTGGGTTTCGCCTCCAAACCCAGCAATTCCCTCGATAACCCGCCATCCAGAAGGGTTGGTTGGATCCCCTGGCGCGCCTTTTATCCGAATGCATCAAGAGGAGCTCGAGATCCTGTCAACTGGCTGGGTGAATCTTCCTGCAAATATGCCCCGAAAAAATCCCCTCTGGCCATATCCAGGTCCAAAAGCGCCCCACCCGGAGATACTGAGAAGGGTCTCCTACGTCGCTCCGGTCCTGCGCAGCTTGAATGTTGCTGGCGACTTCTGCACTCTGCGTCTCCGTGCACACGTCTTCCAGGGCATCATTGAGTGCCTGGGAATCACAGCCACGAGCAACGACATCTTACATGTGCCACGATCAAAACTCCTTCTGTGGACCATGGTCATGTCTTCCTTACTAGGAATAACGGGTCCATGACCGGCCCTACCAGCCCCATGCGGTGAGTGGCCCTTCAAACTTCGTGCCATGCGTGCGGAAACTTGTTGAAGTGACCGATTCAACCATCATGGGAAAGGGAGCCACGCTGGTATGAAACAAGACGCAAGACAACAAGCTTGAAAATAAACAAGCCCTCTGAATACATCCGCGCCTGAAACAACTTTTGGCCCCCACAAAAAGTTTGAAATGACCCTGACCACACGAGCAATTTGAAAACAAATATCTACCCCTGAACAAAAAAACATGTGAGCACCTGAACTGACGCAACGTCTCCCAAACGATCGCCCAAACCGCAAGCTGAGGCACGCTGAACGTGATGCGCCGGCTCTTGCGCCGCCTCGCGAACGGGAAAAGTCTGTGGAAAAGAATCAAAGGCGACTGGAAGGACGCACAACGCCTTGGATAGCTGGAGAGTCACCCAATGCCTTCTCAAGGCGCTAGGAAAACGTTGCCAGTGGAAGCCTTCAGCCTATGTCCGTGCAACTGAAACATGTTTGCAGGATCATTCCCAAACTGCAACCAGTGGAATGCCAATGTCCATTCCCCAGCTGAAACCAAGGACCTCCCTCAGCATCTCAGAAAAACCGTCGCCGACAGAGGCCTCTCTTCTGGCGTCACCGGAGTGGGCGAACGGGAGCGTGGGGTGGCGGGTGCCTTCCATGTCAAGCAAGCCAACCGAAAGATGGGGCTGCGTCATAGGGATTGGACCCACCCAAATTGGGATCGAGGGGATCTTCTTTTGGCTTCACCAATTCTGAAAAAGGGCAACCTCAACAGCACACCCAAATGGCTGTGGTTGTCAAAACCAATGGGATCCCATTTTGGGGTAGGTGCACCACCCATTTTAGTCTTTTGGTGGGGATTGGGATGTTCACTGGGGATACGGGATTTTGACCCATGGCCACCTGGGTCCATCTCAAAACAAGGTAGTGGACATCCGTTTCCCTTCCAACCGCCTAGAAAAGGGCACCTGCAACAAGCACACCCAAGTGACCTTGGTTGCAAGAAACGACACAGCGCTTGCATAGGTTCGACAACTCACGAGGTTCCCAGGAAACCTACCCAACAGTTGTTCTTTGTGCAGTTTTGCCTGGTTGACCAGGGAGTGCCGCCAAGTGGAGAAACCATTCTTATGCTCCAAACCAGTCAAGCTCGGCAGCATTCTCCAAGGTTGATTTCAAGGATAACCCTGTCCCGAGGAATTTTGAGGTAGCATTGGATCTCTGTGTCCGGGTCTCAGGAAAAGCCAAACAGAAACCATGGATGTTGCCACATAAATAAAACAAACAATATCATGTATGTATATGTATGTGTATATATATATATATTATGTATATGGGTGTGTGCTTTCTTAATTGGCTTTAAAGCGAAGCCAAACGGGAAACCTTGAAACACACTATATGACGAGCCACTGTGCAACTAGGTTTGTCTCACCCCAGCGGCCCCTGCGTGCCTCCCCGAACTCCGGAGTGCAGGGGTTGGGCATGACCTGGACCGAACAGGGGGCAACGCCTTCGTTTTCCCAAACACCCCGACCAGAAGGCGTGTCTTTTCTTAGACCCCAAACATTGCGATGTTCCTTACCTCTTGTTTGAGAAGCACAGCAGCGAGTTGTGTGTCCCGCAAATGGGCTTCTCCTGGTTGCCAGCCCCAGATGTCAGTTCCAAGGAATCCAACTGCCTTCGCCAGGCGCCTTTCCTCGCGCACGCTTCGCGTCCAGCTCCAACGTCCCCCTGAGCCCGCCGCTCCGCTGCTCGCCTCGCAAAAGTGAGGCAGACCAGTGGGGCCAAACATGTCACACCCCCCCCCCACCCAGCGGTTTTCCACCCGTTTCTGCCCAAGAATTTGTTGCCCTTGACACCTCGGGATTGAAGGCCCGGGAAATCGACAGCCATAGGTCTTGGGAAAATAGATGGCCCATGAAGTAGCCAAGTCACCTAGGGCCCTCAATGTATCAAAATGACCAAAAAGGACACCTGTTCAATCCTTGTAAGCAACATTTTTGCCGGCCATTTGGAGGTGTCCATTGAAAAGCTTGGGAAGCCCACGGCTGGGGGGGGGGAGATGGGCAGACCTCAAATTAGGCTGCCCTGCACCCAAGCATCCGGATCATTCTTTGTTTGGCCTTTTGGCAATCCATTCAAGAATCGAAACACATGGGTGTGTCTTTTGGACGGCACCCCCTTTCTTGCGGTTTTTCAGTGGAAACCAACAGGAAACAACCACCCGTTTTGGGTTTGGGCGGGGTCCCCCATGGCACTGGGAGCTCAAGAAACCCTGACACATGCACAGAGTTGTCAAGTATCTGAATTTAGTGGTATTGTATAATACCCCGTGGGTGTTTCTCAAAACGGTAAACCCCTTTTTGGTTTGGTTCGGGGACCCGGACGGTGAAGAATTCGGAGCAAATATCTGGGACCTGACATTTCGGGATCCTGGTTTGGAGCACTTTTCCCTCAAAAGATGGACCATTTCTCTGGTAGGTTCTGTTTCCATGTTCGTCAGAGCAGCCATCATTCATTCCCATGACTACCCTCCATGCCCATACCCATGCTCCCGCCCCTGCCCGCCTGCATGGCAGCGCGCCGCTGCTCGATCCTCATCTTCAGCGGGGCGCCGGCGCCTGCGGAACTGATGGAAAACGGAGAAGCGACGTGGACATCCCCATGACATCCAGTTTTGGAAATTCGATTTGGGAAATTAATCTTGGGAATCCGTTTCGGGAACCCCTGGGATGGACACCATCAGCCTCAGCCCCTTTTTCTCCATGTCTTCCAGAGATTTGACAGTGGTCCCCTCTCCCCTCCCTTTACATGAGACTTCGCCCGGATCCCAGGCAGTCCCCAAAGAGGCCAACGGCCGGCAACGGCTTTCGCTGCGGCCTTGCTGCTCCGCCATGGCCAGGGCGTGGCGACGCGAGGCGCGGCGGTCCTCTCGGTTCAAGGAGCGAGAGACCAAGAACCAAGGAAATTGGAAAGAGAAAGGGAAACCCCGAAAACTGGCCCCATTCGCCCCCTAAGCATCCCTAAGTGGGTCAAAAGGGAGCCCAAGGACCACGGAAAGGTTCTCCCAGTTCCCAAGTTCGTTCACTTTCCAATGGTCTGAAAAACCCGGGTGCATGCATCCTCGAGTTTGGTGGTCCTGCCAGGGGAAAGAGACAAGGAAACCGAAAACTGGGCCCATGATTTTTCACCACTCTCAAAGTCACCTAATAGGGTATCCCTAAGTGGTGGGTCAAAAGGGAAACCACCCCAGTTTCTGACTTTGAGAACCCCTTGAAAACACAGAATGCCCCCAGAAAATGGAAACTAATTGAAAAGCCAAAGAAGAAGAAAATCAAAGGGAGCTGAAAGGGAAAAGGGAAACCAAATAGGAAAGGGAAATCTGAGCGGCTTGAAACCGGGTTCCTGGGAGTCGTCAAACCCATTGCAGGGGATGACCTCTGAGAGTGCTTCACCTCTGCCATAAGGAAACTGCCTCATGCGACACTGGGAAAATTGGGGCCTGTTCGGGTGGATAGCTTTGGAAAAGGACAGTCGAATTGAGGGCAACAAACATAACCAAGCCTCAGCTAAACGGTGTGAGGAAATTCGGCTTGTTCCCCAAGCTTCAGGTTAACCCAGCACATGCCACGGCACCCGACGCATGTGGCTCTCCTCGTCTCTTCGCGGACCATCCTGACCGGGCACCAAGCAAAGAGGATCCGAGGCCATCAGCATGGCCAGCTGATCGCTCCATTGGGCATCAGCTCCAGAACAGGTCTCCCAGAATCCACCATGTCAAAAAACACAACTGCACTCCGGACCTCGGGAGTGTCCTCCAAGATATCTACATGTCAATTGGCCGTCCTTTTCGGGGACCCCTATCTTTGTAAGGCCGACCCCGTTGATCGGCTTCAAACCCACGGCCCTGCTCCGGGCATCCGCGCCTCGCGCGTGCACTTCCCCCGCGCCATGGCCCTCGGCCCCCTGGCGTCGCGGGCGGAATCTCGGCCACTTCGCTGACACCTCAGACGAACCTCAGACGGAGACATCAGTTGAACCCCGAGGGGTTCCGATACCTCAAATAACCCAGAGCCTCCGAGCCTGAACCACACCCACACTTTCTACGTTGCGCGGGTGTAAACCACAGCCGCTTGCTCAGAAATGACCATCGTTCTGTATTTAGTTAGCTCATCACCCCACCCCCCAATCTCACACCCCCTTGCTCACGAACTCATTCCTCTTCTACTTTTGCTCCATTCGAGATCCAACAGCGGCCGGCCGATCCTTTCCCTGCCTCCCAAAAGCCGCCCACCGAAGCTGAGCCGACAGGATCCGCGGCGCTCAACGATGGAAGGAGCTGCCCTACGAAAACCTTGCAGACGGCCCCCGCAAAGTGCTGTTCAACTGGGCGCAAGAGAAAAGAACTTCAGCACGCAAAAGAAACGTCTCAAAGCTGATTTGCACCCATGTCATCTGCATCCATCTGGGCTTCTGTACGAAGAATGCGATATCGGTATCATGTTTGCTGTTTTTCAGCTTTGCTTTTGGGGGCTGTTCAAAGAGGAGCACAAGGGGCCAGCACCAAATTGGGGAGGCTTCCTATGTTGGAATGCAGCTTTGCTTGGCGCGGGGCTCTCCCTCCGACCTCGCGCCACGTGCAATGCCACAGCAAAATCTGAGGCAACTTTGGGCAGCTGTTTGGGCGGACAACCTTTTTGGGAAAACTATTTGGGGTGAACTTTCTGAAGGCAAGTTCTTCAGGGAAACAAACGAACAAAGAGCTTGAGGGAACGAAGAAACAAAACCCTAGCCAATTGAAATGCAGTCACCACCACCACCACCACCACGACCGACAATAAGGAACACAAAGCATCGCAATCGTCGAAAAAACCACACCCACTCGCCACAGCACTCCAACCAAATTTCGCCCAAATATCTCCGG